TAGGGGGGCACATACGAACCCTACCCCTACCCCCCACGATTTCTGAGGGGGAGGGTTCGGTTCGCATGTGGCCCCCTAGAAACACCCTGCTTGCCTCCAGGGTGCCCTGGGTTTCTTGGGTTTCGATGGTTCTGCTATGGAGAGCGTGACGTTCCCACAACAAAAAGCAATGGACGTCCTGGGGTCTCAGGGTTGGGTTTCTTGTGGAAGGTTTCTTGTGGACGAGCCCCTACTGTAGGGTTCGGATTTCGTCGAAGACGTGGCGAACTCTGAACCCTACCCACGCCTCCCATCGATTCAGGAGATTCGATGGTCAGGGGGGGGTAGGGTTCGGATGTCGCCACCTATCCCTTGGCCTCCCAGACGGGGTCCGAGTAGATGGGGTCGGAAGATCGCGCCCTCTCCTCTAGTGTTCTTATTCATTCTTTTGCCGATCGGCGCGGGCCCCCAATCCCCCCCATGGAGTAGATCTTGGCTGTTTTTCGGCGCCCGCTTCGAGCGGGTGGAGGCTCCCCAACTGGCAGCTTTCTTGCAAACAGTCGCTCTAAGCAGAGGCCCCGAGCCACACACCCCCTGCCCCTCCCCCCCCTTGCCGCCGAGTGTCGAAACGACGAATAGAAAAACGTTCACCTATTATACATCAGCGATGCGGCTCGATGTGGGGCCCGATGCTCTCCACGCCGACGGCGCCGACGCATCCCCAGACATGCGACGTCCTGATTTTTCCAGACGGCGCCCCTGGAAGTCCCGACCCTTTCCCCGGGATCGGTTTTGCGTCCTGAGTCGTTTTTTGACGGTCCCGAGGCCCAGCGAGGGCCCCCCGAGGCCGAGAGTTGCCAACAAAATTGCCGTTCTGATTTTTTTCTACGTCGCGAGCATGTCTGGGGATGCATCGCCAACGGCGCCGATGCGTCGCCGATGTGGCCACCTGACGGAGGTGGGGGCGCCGAATGCCGTCGGGGCTGCAGTGGCGTGCCGCATCGCCCTCGGGCCGCGGGCGCCTCCTGCGCCTGAGACCGGGGGACGCGGCGCCCAGCCGCCTTGGAGCTGCAGGGCGACACGCGAGAGTGACCTTTCGCCGGAGTGGCCTTTGGTGCGGGCCCGATGGGTCCGAGGCCCGAAAACCATCATTTCACTAATTTTGGGCCCCAGGGCCCACTGAGGCCCCAGGGGCCCCAGATTAGTGAAGTGATGTTTTTCCCCACGTAAGGGCCCCGAAATTCATCACTTCACTAAACCGAACCCAGGACGACAGTCAGGGGCCGAATTGCTGCTGTGATGCAAGATCGGTCTCGTAATAAGGCCTGTTGATCGCCGAGTGCGATGCTGTCGCAGCGGCTTGCACGCCCGGTGGTGTCCCCGAAGGGCCCCCGCTTGGGCCGCGCACCAAGTGTCACTCTTGCCTAGGGTCGCTCCTGCGTGTGGCCGAGCAGGGTGCACCGCCCGCTCCATTCGGGCCGTGTCGGCCGCGCGGCGCCCAGTCCACTGCCGTCCGCGCGCGCCCTCCTGGAAGGTCCGTCGAGAGGGGTCAGCGGTTCGTCCTCCTCGCCATGGGGGAAGCGGATCCCGAGGGGGTCCTGAGGTACGTCGCCGTCTTCGGGCTCTCGGGGCCTTCCACGTGCCCCGGGACTGTCAGAGAACGACTCAGGATGATGACCTCGTCCTTCCGTAGCCATTTTGGCTCAAGTTTCTCCGTCAGCGCAGATTGTTGCAGGCCTTTTTTTCTGGTCGTTGAACCCTCACTGTAGCCATGGCAGAGACATTCGCATTCAATGCTGATATTCAGCAGCTCATGAGCCTGATCATCAACACCTTCTACTCCAACAAGGAGATCTTCCTGCGCGAGCTCATCTCCAATGCGTCAGATGCCTTGGACAAGATCCGGTACGAGTCCATCACGGATCCTGACAAGATCGAGGCCCAGCCGAATTTTTATATCAAGATCGTCCCCGACAAGACCAATTCCACCATCACGATCGAGGATTCTGGCATCGGGATGACCAAGAACGAATTGATCAACAACCTCGGCACCATCGCCAAGTCCGGCACCAAGGCCTTCATGGAGGCAATGGCAGCCGGCGGCGACATCTCCATGATCGGGCAGTTCGGAGTCGGCTTCTACTCCGCGTACCTCGTCTCGGACAAGGTGCGCGTGATCAGCAAGAACAACGACGACGAGCAGTACATCTGGGAATCTGGGGCTGGTGGCTCTTTCACGGTGCAGAAGGACACAGAGATTGTGCACGGGGAGATCAAGCGCGGCACTAAGATCATTTGTTATTTAAAGGAGGACCAGTCCGAATTCCTGGAGGAACGCCGCCTGAAGGATCTGGTCAAGAAACACTCGGAGTTCATCGGGTTCCCCATTGAGTTGTACGTGGAGAAGTCCAAGGAGAAGGAAGTTACGGATTCCGAGGACGAAGAGGAGGAGAAGAAGGACGAGAAAGAAGGCGATGAGCCGAAGATCGAGGAGGTCGACGAGGAGAAAGAGAAGGAGGAGAAAAAGAAGAAGACAAAGAAGGTCAAGGAGGTATCCCACGAATGGGAGCAGCTTAACAAGAACAAGCCGCTGTGGATGCGCAAGTCCGAAGACGTGACCAACGAGGAGTATGCATCGTTCTACAAGTCACTGTCCAACGACTGGGAGGACCACCTGGCCGTGAAGCACTTCAGCGTTGAGGGCCAGCTGGAGTTCCGCGCGCTGCTCTTCGTGCCGCGCCGGGCACCTTTCGACCTGTTTGAATCCAAGAAGAAGCGCAACAACATCAAGCTGTACGTGCGACGCGTCTTTATCATGGATGATTGCGACGAGCTGATGCCCGAGTGGCTCAATTTTGTGAAGGGCGTGGTTGACTCTGAGGACCTGCCTCTGAACATCTCCCGCGAGACGCTGCAGCAGAACAAGATCCTGCGAGTGATCAAGAAGAACCTCGTCAAGAAGTGCCTCGAGATGTTTGCGGAGATCGCCGAGAAGAAGGACGACTACAAGAAGTTCTATGAGCAGTTCGGCAAGTGCCTCAAGCTTGGCGTGCACGAAGATTCCACCAACCGCACCAAGGTCGCGGAGCTTATGCGCTACCACACCTCGAAGTCTGGAGATGAGATGATCAGCCTGAAGGAGTATGTGGACCGCATGAAGGAGGGGCAGAATGACATTTACTACATCACGGGGGAGAGCATCGCAGCGGTGTCATCCTCGCCTTTCTTGGAAACGCTGCGCAAGAAGGGTCTTGAGGTCCTCTACATGACCGATCCCATCGATGAGTACTCCGTGCAGCAGCTGAAGGAGTTCGACGGCAAGAAGCTCAAGTCGACGACCAAGGAAGGTTTGGACCTCGAGGACGAGGACGAGAAGAAGAAGCTGGAGGAGCTGAAGGCGGAGTTCGAGCCGCTAACGAAGCTGATGAAGGAGGTGCTTGGCGACAAGGTGGAGAAGGTGGTTGTCAGTTCGCGCATGGCGGACTCGCCCTGCGTATTGACAACCTCGGAATATGGCTGGTCCGCAAACATGGAGCGCATTATGAAGGCGCAGGCCCTCAGGGATAACTCTATGACCTCCTACATGGTGTCCAAGAAGACCATGGAGGTCAACCCCAAGCACTCCATTATGTGTGAGCTCAAAAAGAAGGCGTCTGCCGACAAGTCAGACAAGACAGTCAAGGACTTGATCTGGCTTCTTTTCGACACATCCCTGCTCACCTCTGGCTTCAACCTGGACGAGCCCACTCAGTTCGCAGGGCGCATCCACCGCATGATCAAGCTCGGCCTCAGCATTGACGATGACGACGAGGGCCTGGGGGACGACGAAGACCTGCCCCCTCTCGAGGAAGTCGAGGGCGCCGCAGACGAGGCATCGAAGATGGAGGAGGTTGACTAGGAGCTGTCAGGCTCCCCAGTATTACCTCCCCCGTGGCAGTCCGCGCGATCAGTTTTTGCTTGGCCGATTTCACTGTCCGGAGCCACGGGGCCGCATTCTTGCTCCGACGTTCTATGTACAGTTGCGATATCAGACCAGTGCGCCATATACCATATACCAGCATAGACGCGCTCTGGCGCGCAGCGACAAAACATACAATAAAAAGGATGATGATCTCGTCCTGGGGGAAGGCTCCAGGGTCCATGACCCGTTTCCCTCAGGACCCGTTTACCCCATGCTGAGCAGCGCCCAGGCCGGTCCACGCCCTTTCGCTTGCGCCCTCCCGCATCGGCCAGAAAGGTGCGGCGAGTGGGTCAGCGGATTTGAGAGTGTTTGCGCACAGAGCATTCCGTGACTCGGGAGGAGGTCGCTGATGAGTCTGCGTCTGGAACAGCGGAAGGAGTGCCGAAGTAGTGCCTCGATGAAGAGCAGACTGCGTAAACATACACTTCTGGAGCTCCGCACGGATTTCTTGGGTCGGCGCCTCTGGCGCCGCCTCTGACGTGCTCCGTGCGCCAGTGAGGGAGGCCCAGCGCCGATGCAAGAAATCCGCGCGGAGCTCTGGAAGTTTATGTTTATGCCGTTTCGTCTCATGGGCCTGTCTTCCACCACCACCATCATAAGTTGGAGGGGGGGAGGAGTTGACGGATGAGGAGGAGGAGGAGGAGGAAGAAGACGAGGAGGACCCCCTCCTCCTCCTACTTCTGGTGGTGGTGGAAAACAGGTCCACCATCGTCTTCCTCTAGAGAGCGGCCCCACGCCGGGGTGACCTCGGGTGCGCGGCTTCAGCGGGTCCCGGGGGGTGGGGGTGGGCGTGCCCAAACGCGCAGGCCTTTGCTGTCGCACCGCGCGCAGCGATCGGCGGACCCGATCGCCCAGAGGTCACGGCTGCGTGCCGCCGGGGCAGCCAGCCACGGGCCAGCAGCGTCATATGCCATCGCCGAGGAGGGCCCCGAGGGCGGCCCTTCCTCGCCTGCCAGCGGCAGTCGGGGCGCGCCCCGCACCGCGGCGGCCGCGCGTGCAGAGGGCACGGCCGCCACGCCGTCTGGCAGCCGCCCGCAGCTGCCACGGGCGGCGCGGGGAGGCGGCCAGGCGGAGCCCGCCCGAAGGCTGCACCTCACTGCCCACCAAACAACCCCAACCCAACCCAAAGGCCCCGATTTGCTCTCTAATTCCAGTGTGGGGGGACCAGGGAACATGGACAAAACACATCTGAGGCGCGTATCCCCCCCAAACCGAAATTCGAGCTAAATTCGGGTCTTCGGGTTGGGTTGGGGTGGTCTGGTAGGTAGTCAGCCCAGAGGCACAGTGGAGAGAGGGCCGTGCGAGGGTGTCTGCAGCGGCCACGCGGCCGAGGCACGAGCCATAGACTGGCTGCGGAGGAGGAGGAGGAGGAGGAGGAGGAGGAGGGAGGAGGAGGAGGAGGAGGAGGAGGAGGAGGAGGAGGAGGGAGGAGAGGAGGAGGAGGAGGAGGAGGAGGACGGGAGGGCCTCTGGGGGCCACCTCGGGCCTTCCGCGGGCCATCCCGCTCCTCCCCGCACGCCTTCGCCTTCGGGTGCGCCCTGTATACTACTATCTTGCCCGCGCGCCTCGGCGTAACAGGTATCGTCTATTCCTTTCGGGCAGACTGTGCGCAAAACCAGCGCCCGGACCAGGCGTTGGTTTTGATCCGCGCGCAGCCATGCTTGCCATGGCGACCCATGCTTGCCATGGCGACAAGGTGAGCACGAAAAGCAGAGAAGAGATGAGTGTAGATTCAAAGGCCAAAGGCGAGTAGGGAGCTCCTCTGCTCATGCCGGTGGATGTGAAGGATGAGGATGATGCTGCTGCTGATGATGATGATGATGCTGCTGATGATGCTGCTGATGATGATGCTGATGATGATGCTGTTGTTGATGATGATGCTGATGATGCTGATGATGATGATGATGCTGTTGATGATGATGCTGATGGTGATGCTCTTGCTGATGCTGTTGCTGATGCTGATGATGATGATGCTGTTGTTGATGATGGTGGTGAAACTGATGATTGTGATGATGATGCTGATGCTGATGATGATGATGATGGTGATGATGATGATGCTGATGCTGATGATGATGGTGGTGGTGGTGGTGATGATGATGGTGATGATGGTGATGATGATGATGCTGATGATGCTGATGATGATGACGATGATGATGCTGCTGATGATGATGCTGATGATGATGCTGATGATGCTGATGCTGATGCTGCTGCTGCTGACTCTGATGATGATGATGACGATGATGATGATGATGATTATGATGATGATGATGACAGTGGTGGTGGTGGTGATGATGATGATGCTGATGATGCAGTGCTGCTGCTACTGCTGATGATGATGATGATGCTGCTGATGATGATGCTGATGATGATGATGGTGGTGATGATGATGAGGATGATGCTGATAATGATGATGATGATGATGATGATGATGATGATGAGGATGATGCTGATAATGATGATGATGATGATGATGATGATGATGATGATGATGATGATGATGATGATGATGGTGGTGGTGGTGGTGATGATGATGATGCTGATGATGCAGTGCTGCTGCTACTGCTGCTGATGATGATGATGCTGCTGATGATGATGCTGATGATGATGATGGTGATGATGATGATGATGATGAGGATGATGATGATGATGATGATTGATGATGATGATGCTGCTGATGATGATGATGATGATGATGATGATGATGATGATGATGATGATGATGATGATGATGATGATGCTGATGATGATGATGATGATGATGATGATGATGATGATGATGATGATGATGATGATGATGATGATGATGATGATGATGATGATGATGATGATGATGATGATGATGATGATGATGATGATGATGATGATGATGATGATGATGATGATGATGATGATGATGATGATGATGATGATGACTGGTGATGGTGATGATAGAGGAGGAGGAGGAGGAGGGAGGAGGTCAGGGGAGGGGGAGGGGAGGAGGGGGGAGGAGGAGGGAGGAGGGGAGGAGGAGAGGAGGAGGAGGAGGAGGAAACGAGCACACCCTGGATGCATCAAGGATGCAGCAACACACATCTCCAGTCCCCTCCTCAGAAGTCCTTGCAGCAGTCCTTCCTACTCAGTCAAAGAAGCTCTCCCTTGAAAGGCCAGCACTCTATGAGCCTGCCATGCAGGCGAGTACCCCGTTTTGAACATGAACTGCCTTACCGAGGATGCGGCTGATCCTCCTCAAGGTCCTCTTCCTCCTCCTCCTTCTCCTCCTCCTCCTAGGATTGCCAAACCGAGGATGCGTAAGGCGAGCCACCGCTGCCCCCTGCCTTTGGGAAGCCCCCATGTGGCCAAACGTTGTGCCAAAGTCTTGCCACGCTATTGGACGATGCGTGTTCCCCAGCCGTTGTGAACCGCCTTGAGGGAACACCTGTGAGAGAAAGGGAACAGAGGATGAGAGGGAGGAGAAGGAGGACGAGGAGGATGAGGAGGAAAATGATGCCCCTGGAGGCCTTCTTGTGGCTTCTTGGGGGCTTCCTGGGAGCCTCTTGGGGGCCTCTGGGGCGCCTCTTGGGATTCTCCTGGGGCCTCTAGGGGGCCTCCTGGGAGCCTCTCGGGGGCCTCTTGGGGAGCCCATCCGTGGCTCAAGCTTACTCAAATCCATGGGTTAGTGGCACCCGAATTCCGCCTCCTGCCAGAGCGAGCGCTACCGACACGGCGCCTTGATGTGGCCCAGCGGGGGATGGCCAGACTACGAGTCCTGGGCTGAAATCCTCAGGCTGCGACTGGCGACCGCTTGGAGGAGATCATCGCCGAGCCTCGGAATTTCGATGCAGTTCTACTTGCTGGAACGCAGGCTGCGGACATGAGGCAGAACTACACGGGAAGCACGGTCTTGAGATCACGGATTGCGGGTCGCCTCGTCTTGAATGCACCGTATGAGTCTTCATTTCTGGCGAACGTTACTTGCGGCTGTTCAGTCATCGTGGGGGGAGGGCTTCGTGAAGACCACATTGTACGCACTTGGCCGTCACCAGCCGAGGCGCGAGGACGTGCTATTGCTGCTCGTCTGAAGAGGCAGGCAGGACCTTTGTTTCATCAGTATGTATTTTCCACCGAGTGATTTTGGGCTCATGAAGAAGAACAACTATCTTGCTACCGCTAGGGTGCTGGGAAACTGGCTTCGGAAAGTATTGGAGAGCCTCCCAGCCCGATGCATCCCGCTTTTGTTCTGTGACCTCAACGGCGGCATGGGCCTCTAAACGTGTGGTTCAGGGGTCACGGGTCTTCAAAGTGCAGCGGTGGGTATTGGTTCGGTGGAGCCTCTGCCTGGTGAATCAGGAGAGTTGCTACGCAAAGTCATGGAGCAACGCCGTTTTTATTTCCTGGCGGGCAATTCTGTACATGGTCGCTCGTCCCAAATGTTTTACGGTGGAAATGGTAGGTGTTCCCCAGTCGACTACCTCATTCATCTTCGCGACGTGAAGGAGATGGTGGTCAACTGTGCGGTGGTGCCTAAGTTGGGATCAGCATTGCAGCTACAGTCGGGGGAGTCGCCGAAGGACCACCTACCGATCGCGTGTGTAATGAGCTATGAGAAACATCGGCCAGATGACCCACCACAATTGGCGACCAAGTGGGGCAGCGAATAGCGATGCAGGCAATCATGCAGGAGAAATCTAAACGATAATTATCGAGCTAGTAGGGGCCAGATTATCGACAGTGGGCCCTCGTTATATGAAAGACGATGCTTCGCCAAATGAGATATTCGAGATGTCGGAACATACGGCTGTGGATGCTGGTTCGGAGTGTTTTAGTCAGTTAGCTCGAGCGCCGCGGTGCGAGGACTATAGCGGGTATTGCACAGCCCGCCGAGAACTACTTGGACAGCGTCTGGACGTCCGAGCTGGGAAATTTCATGCCTCGGGGTTTGAGATCGATTTGGTCGATGAGGAGCTGACGCCCCCGAGGTTTGAGTTTACAAAGGCTCGATGTAAGCATTATCGACATCGACGCGACAGACTAGTGGCATAAGCAAACCTCATGTGGCGACACAGGAAACCAGCAGAAGCCATGAGACTCGAGAGCCGTTTCGAGGACTAGAAAAGGACCAAAGAAATTTGACGGAGCACTCGTGCGACCAGCTCCACTCGGCGGACCAATGGATGTCGGCATGGCAATTATCCGGACCTGAGGGGGGGATGGCAGTTCAAAGATGTGATTGGGACCCCCTGCGTGCTGATCGAGATGGCCACTTCCAGTGGTTGCCCGACGCGTAGTTGTTCGAGCAAGTGGACGCTGGCTACTCTTCGATCCAGTGGCACCTTGTGTATGGGAAGAAGAGGAAGGCCGTGCCCGCGAACGCGGCGCCGCTGGAAACATGGCCCGTGCGATTTCTTCCCAAACCCAGGCCGACGCTACAGCAGAAGTTGGGGCTGGGCTGTGACCCGACCCCGCCGAGCACGACATGCTTTAATTTCTTTTTCAACGTAGGCCTGGCGAAGATTCGCATGCACGAGCAGACCCCCTTGTATTGGCGCACTAGTGAAGCGCGCGGTTTGCGCGAGTCGGCCCGGCCAGAGCCAAAAAAACGACGAGTTGTGCATCCTCTTCCGGTCCTGGGGAAAGGATGTGCTGCAAAAGAACTTAGGTCTTTCCCGACGGTCATGGACCGCGGCTTCGTAAAAGGGCAGGAGGAGGGAGGAGACCGCGTTGTATTCAGTACTCACGAGTCAGAGGTCGCGACCGGGAGGTCCTACGCGCGCAGTATGCTTAAAAGATCTCAGCGATGCTTTCGGACACACATCGCGCTGTATTTTGAGGGAGGTAGTTGGACTAAACGCAGCCGCTGGGAAGGTACAATTATTTCAACGGCGCTTCACGGGGGCGCTGATCCAGTTTTCCGTAGCCGACGGGCCGCTCTTTGTTCGTCCTAGACAGGTTGGCTGTATGGGCGACCCGTTCATTGTCGCCGCCCCCTGGAGGTTTCGACTATCCGGTCTTGGAAGGGGGGGGGAGGAGGAGGAGGAAGAGGAGGAGCAGAAGGAGGAGGAGGACGAGGAGCAGGAGGAGGAA